CAGGATCGTCGGTGGTGGATGGAGATTGAGATGGGTTACCTCCGTGCTGAGCAAAACCGGCAAGGCATGGAGATTGACAGGATTGTTGCTGAGCAAGTCCATCAAGGGACCTCGATTGATTATATACAGACTATGATGCAGCAGTTGATGTTGCACTTTCAACATCCTCCTCCTCCTCCTCGGTAGTTGTTGTGAGTCTTCGCCACATTTGAGCTACAACATTGCGGTTAATGTTTAGTTTATGTGTGTGTGTGTGGGGGGGGGGGGGGGGTTCTTTCATTTGTTTTGAGTTTCTTTCAATTGTTTACTTTCATTTGCATTTGTTTTGGATTATTTTCATTGTCGTAGTTTGTATTTTGCTTTATGTAGAGATGTTACAGATTGTATGACGGAGGCCTGATGAGTAATGGAATGATAAGTGAATGGATGACAGGTACAACCTGAGCTTGTTTCTCCAAGGCACCCTGGAAGAGGATGTCGCCGAAAGAAAATTAACGGGTGGACGCAACTTAGTGCTACTAGACGAAAAAGGTGGATGGTATACCTGGACCAGAAAAGAAACCACATGACACTAGGAGTGCTTTGACCTGTGAGATTATCCAACATGGTGAGGTACAAAAAGGCCATACATAATTGATGATCATCATGAGAGTTCAATCAGGTATGACTTTATCACTCTGATTTTGCGTTCGTTCTACCTACACAGCACAATAGGAAAACGCCCACTGAGGCACTTGTTTGTTTTACCATCTGAGCCTTTCTAGCCATCCATAATAATATGTTATCCTTTTTTAAACCCCATTGAGCCTTATCCCTTTGTTTATTTTAACCAAATCAGTAACCCATGGCAAAACGCTTCCTATCCTTTTGTTCAACATATGTGTTATGAATTTTTTTGATTTGTGTAAATTCTAAGTTTGGGGTCTTTATTAGCAAAGAAATGGGCAAGTGTGAACTTGAAAAGAAAAAAAGAAAGAAAGGAATGGATAAAAAAATATATTTTCTTTTTGTAACATATTAAAGCATGAAAATAAAAAAGAGAAAAGAGTTATAGAAAACACTTGCCCGAATGAAAGACTCGAACACTATTAGATACTCCAAGAAAAGCGAGTAAAGCAAAAGAGTCTGGATGAATAAGTTCCCCTTGCAACAATATAGGCACAAAGATGAAAAACATAACATAAATGTTGAGCCAAAAACCATTTGCTTATTCCTTTCCTTGTTTATCCCACCTTTCACCTAAGCCTCGTTACAACCGAAAAAGGCCTCAAAAAGTGTGTGAGTTCTGTTTGTGTAGTGAAAGGAGAATTAATTCAAAGTTGAGAGTTGATATTGCATACCTTGATTTTGGGAGGGGAAAAACACTTTAACCCTGAGAGATTTGGTGAGAGGTGTGAAAAATCTTGTAGGTAAAAGGTACTCTGATGTGGAAGTGTGGTAGGCGATATGGTTTGGTGAACCAGAAGCTTGATCAAGAAGGTAAAAGCAAGTTGCAAAGAACGTCGGCGGTATTGAGGAAAAAGAAAATCCAAGGTGACCTCTGTTTGACCTCTTACATCACTTGAGGACAAGCAATGAGATAAGTTTGGGGTTGTGATCGGTCACCATTTCTATCTAATTTTCATCATGCATACGGCCTAAAGTCTGTCAATTGAGTAACATTTTATGTTAAGTCGTATTGTTTTCTTAAGTATTTCATGTCTAGCTGATTTTCTTGCATTGTATTTTCTTTGAGTTATTTTGATGCTTTTAATGCTTTTTGTTGGTAGTGTGCATATCTCAGGTTCAATAGGTTTAGTCTAAAGCAATAGTGCAGAGCATGAACAAGAGTACAAAGGCCAAAGAGGAAAAGTACATGCATATGAAGACAAACACGGTTTGTGTCCCATGACACGGCCCGTATCAGCACAGCAGCCATGCCCATACAAAAACCAGGGGCCAACACGGGTGCCCGTGCTACCTAGCACGGCCCGTGTCAGAAGGCCTGAAGCTGGAGAAAAGAGAAACAATTTTGTGAAGCAACACGGCCTGTATGGGCTCAACACGACCCGTGTCGGCCTGTGCGTCAGCTATTTTATTTTGGTCCCTTGTTATTAAATCTTGCCCTTGAGGGCACTTTAGGCATTCCAGCTTGTTGAGATTTGTACCTAGGTATTTATTTGAGTTTTTGAGTGAGAGGCGGAGACTTTTGGCATCGTACAATAGAGAACACAAAAGAGAGAAGATTGCTTCATCAAGGTTATTGGAGACGGAGGGATTCAAGGATTTCCACCATTGAAGATCAAAGTCCACCTTTATTCTTGTAATGTTTAACTTCTTAATTATGTTTATCTTGAATACTATGAGAGGCTAAACCCCCCAATGCTAGGGGGTGGTCCTGATTTGGTTTATGCAATGGATACGAATTTCTAAGTTAATCAAATTTTAAATTCGTGTTTTTCAATTTAATTATGCAATGTATTTATGCTTTCTCTTTTGATAAAATTGGGAATGATCTATGGATAACAATTGCAGGACTGTAGTTGTTAGGATTTTTACATAATTGGATTATACTAGATACGACCTAGGACTAGGAGTACCCTATAATTACCACTGACAACCTTGTTATTATAATTACTTGTATTCACTTTTTATCTTCATGGGCATTGGGATTAAGGGTGAATGTTCAAGGGTTTTTCAACATAGGGAAAAATAATCTAGAGGTTGGTAATTGAAAAACATAAGATTAACCTTTGAGAGCATTAGAATTCATATCTTTGCAATCCAAGTCAACCACTTCCCCTAGCATGTTTTGCTCTTATAAAGAAAAGTCATTTACTTTCGCGTTATTACTTTGTGCGAAGATTTCATCAAAACAAACCAATCAATTATTTTTGTTCAATTGAACTACTGGGAACTTAGTATTTACTACGCACTCCTCGAGATCGATCTTTGGGGGTAAACCCATTAAGACACAAGAGGCCTCATTCCCCTCCTCCTCGCCAGATAGAGGAACGTCCCCAATCTCCCCCACGGAGACGCGGGTGAGACGTCTCTCGAAGCCCCTCTCCCTGACCAATCGGGCAACACCCCGCGTTGGAGAGGGATCAACATGGAGACTTCCAGGTCCTACGTGAGTAGTGGAGACCCGCGCGTGATCCCCTATCTGGATGACTTCCTCCGCAAGACCAGGAGGATATGGAAGCGATCTTTCTGGGACCAAGAAGACTTCGTGATATTCTGAGACGTTGATAGTCAATCCTACGAGGAGTATGCTCGTGAGGTGCCTCTGCTCGTCGAGGATGCCCTTACTGATCGCGAGGTCGTGTGATGGGATCATTGTTGATCGAGGAGAGAATTGAAGCTTGACCTCGAGGTCCTCCTGTCCGGTGGTGATCTTCCTAAGGGTAACTGGGTTCCTCTCCGTGTGGTGAGCTGTGTCTCCTCGACGAGGAGTAGTTTCTGCCCGACGGTATCGAGGGCACAATCGGCCAACAAGATTTAGACGACATAATTAGATTGGACCTCAAATAGAGTTGGACCATGAACAGGACCAGTCCAGAACAATTACTTAAATCATGTAATTTATGATATGATATGGTTGAAAATATTTCTCCTTTTGCTCGACTCATATTTTATATATACATTGTCTTCCTTATAATTAAGCAAAACTTATATGTTTATAAGGTTCTTCTCCAACTCTATAGCCTCTCATTTAAATCATCATTCGACTATCCAAGTATGATTATATCATATGAAAAAACTAAGCATCTCGGTATTAACTCTAATGTGTCTCGTGGGTACATTAAAAATTAAAGAAAAAGGATAAGAAAGTGAGGTTAAACCCTGATACAATCACATTGTTATAAAAAAGTCGCATGTCTCTTTTACCATGCGTGTGTACAGTATCCTAAATTTCGTAAAGATAGATAGACATGTTGAGTTTTATTATTAATGTATTAGAATCGGTGAACTGGATGTTCCTAAACTCGATGTTGTTAAACTTGACGTTGAAAAATACTTTATTACTAAACAAACATTTACCCGTTACGTGATTATTTGCTTAGATAGATTATTCTAATAGAAGACAAGATTATGTTGTGATTGATTGTGAAGAAAAAAAGTGAGTATAAAGAAACAAATAAAAGTTTGAAACACAATGACACCAACTCAAGGAAATGAGGATGTCCTTTCAAGTTATGTGGGTGCTTTATGGCAACATAAGTTTGTAAATTTGATATGTTGTGCAATATAAACAATCATGAATTGAATGGCAATTTACCAGATCATTTGATTGTCAATCATTTAGATGTTGAAGAGAAGGAAATTATGGTTGAAATGACAAATGAATACGATTTTTCCCAAAAACATACTCATGATTATGAAAAGAAATAGGGTCAATAGTATAACAAATATTAAGCAAGTTTACAATATTCGACACAAAACAAGACCAAGAACTTAATGCAACAATAGAGATTTGAACATGTGTGATAGTTCATTTAATGACGTGCAAAAATGAAAAATAAAAGAGGAGATTTTTAAAGTTTTTTTAAATGTAAAACCAAAAATGGGGAGAAGAAAACTGTATTTGGAAAATACAAACACACACTCCGGAAGAATACTTTCAATCAAAATAAAGTTTTTATGAGCTCCTTGGAAAATACATCGAATGTATAAAGAATTTTCCATAATTTGTAACCTCAAAATAGATCCAACCGAAATCCCCCTAAAATACGACTTTCACTCAAAAAATGTACAATGTGGATAAAGCAAAACTAGTCCTAACTGAACCTTGCTCCTCCAAATGCCAAGTTAAAGCCAATAGGGGGAGCATTATGAAACACTAACTATTGAATAATATTACACCAAAAGGGAAAAGGTCATACTATAAAAGATGAAGGCTAACAACTTCCCTATTACTATCTCTTTCAAACCTCGATTAAATTTTTGTACATTGTCTTATGCCTTTTGTGTAATGAATTTGAACTTTTTGGTTTCTTTTCATTTGAAACATAGAAATACTAATCACTCTGCGCTATGCTCTCTGCACTTGTAATGTTTGCATAGAGGAAAGTAAGAAAAAGTTCAACCTCCGGTATATTATTAATGATTTGGATGAACTGATTTTGACTGGGTTCTTCGAGGAGCAAAGGACACATCTGCGCAACTTGGGGCAATGCTCTCGCCAACGGCACAGTTGTAGTCCCCATCTGCTCAGCCAGTGTATCCACCACAGCTTTCAGAGATATATCTATAATGCTCCCAAATTCAGCACTGTGGGAAAAAATGAAGAAATAATCATTGGAGATGTTTATGAAACTTATTGTTTAAATAGGAATGCTATTCTTCCTACATTTCGGACATTAACAGTGTCTATATGTTCATGTCGTGTCATGTGTGTATGCGTAAAAAAATGCATCAGTCATCAGTCACCGGTCACATTACATGTAGAGTTCATGCAAATGTTTACTGAGTTTGTAGGTAGCTGTAAATTGTAAATAACCAATTGCATCCAAAACATACCTTGATAATACTGCATTTGCTTCCATCATGAGTTGTTCAAATTCAGTCGTATAAAATGGAACTGTGTCGTTACTCCCAGAGGTCGTGGAACGTAATTTAGCATCCTCGGGTATCATATATTTTATCCAGAAAAATGGACTTCCTCTGCTCATGAAAGTGTTCAGTATCTGTGTGATGGTTTCTTGAAACGCTGTATTGTTGAAGAGACTAGTCAACTGCTTTCTGCACAATGAAATTGTACATAGCCAATTTAAATTGAGTCTTAATCATCAATCTAAAACATATCACTATTCTAAGAAAAGAAAAAAAGTAAAAAATTTCCAAGCCCCAACTTTGATTAGAACTCATCACTGATTGTCATTCTCTATATGTGCGAGTGTGTGGGCGGGAAGGAAATCTAATTGCTCCAAGAGGAACTCTTGGCAACACTTGTTCTGTTTAATTACTCTTGCAATTAAATTTTACCAATTCAGTCATAAAACTAAAAGTTCTTATTGAATATACCAAGTGTACAGATTTTCATTGAATTTAAAAACTAATAATTCAATTTAACAATAATATACATCACAAAATTGAAGTAAATAAAAATAATAAAATCACATAACTATGAATGTTTAATTATCTAAAATTTGGTGAGCATGATCTCTTACTAGGACAATATTAAATAGTTGGATTGGTGAATTATGACAAAAGTTGCCCCTCAATGAATATGTGTGTATGCGTGTGTGCAAAAACACGAGGCTGAGTGAGGCGCAATATTTGGTGAACTTATTAATTATAGACCAACTTCAAACTTTTAAAAGAGCGGCTCATGGGTTGTATAGATGTGTTAATGTTGCTGAACTTGGATTTTCACCAAGTTTATTTACTATTCAGGTAAGTGTTTAATAAGATTATACTATAGATGGAAGAACTGAAAAGAATTAGAAGCGCTATCCGGGTTTCTCACTTCAGATATTTAGTCTAGAACAGATTTAAGGTTGGCAAAATGGCAAGTTTCAAACACAATCCAACATCTCAAACTATTCCTAATTAAGATTGTTCTATACTTCACAGAAAATGTTAAAAGAAAACCCTTTATACAACCGTGACAAGATTTTTAATTATTGACAGATTCAATTCACAAATTGTTAAATAATAAAAGAAACATCACCCTTTGAGAACTTCTTTTGTTGCCGCCTCCATGTCTGAAATCAAGGCAGGCATAGCGTGCTGAGAGAGAAAATCAACACTTCCCAGAAATTTCTGCTGACCCTCCCCATCAACCACATCTCCACTTTCCTGCACATAAAGCAACTCAGAAGAAAAAAAGTACATTTAAGATATGCGGCATGACTTATATGAATTTGGTGGAAAATATTCACATTGAAGTTGAGCAGGTATGGTTCAGTTGCCGTGATTAAAAGTTAACCATTCGAAGACAATATATACATTCTCTGAAGAGTTTGATTGGAAAGCTTTGAAAATTCTAATACCTCGATATTAGTAGAACATAATTTTTAAGGAGACACGTTTCCTCTTGTTATCAATGTCATCAGTGTTACTCCTTTATCAAAGAATTTGTGCTCCCTTCCATTAGGGGGGAAACGTTTAAATTAAATATTTCAATATATTCACCAATAATGGGTTTCAATAGCTCTGCTTCTGCAATAATTTTATAACTCAATCACTTATTTGTGACCAATCATCAAAGAGGTTTTGTAAATAGTAATTATACTGTAAAGCTCCGTAATCATATTTGCTAATAAATATGTATTGAAGAAACTTGTAATAAGATGTTTAATTGTAATTTCTTCTTTACAAGTGTTACTCATTCTACTAAGGGTCTGTTTGGGATTGTTTGAGGGAGCTTATAAAACAGTTTATGACACGATCATTAGCTGTTTTCAGCTTATTTCCATAAGCACTCCAGTATGGCTTATATCAAAACAAGTTAACTTTAATTTGTATATTGTTATGGAAATAATTTATACATAAGCACTTATATGGTAAACGCTTAATTAAGTGGTTTATACAGGGCCTAAATAGGCAAACATTAATTCATTCATAAGAAAAATGCTCCAACATCAGACTTTCTACTTGGATAGCTGTATTTAATAAGACTACTACTAACAAACATTATGATGGTGAAAATCCATACTCCTAACAATGTCACTTGTGTAGTTGTGTTTCTCTAGTGCAGAAAGAGCTGTGTATGTGTTATTAAAGTACATAATTGTTTTATTCTGGTAAGCAGCCAAGTGATGCTTCTCGGAAAGGACATTGCATGAATTATTTAGGGAGTCTCTTGGTAGATTTACCGATACTTACATAGGAGAGAGAACAAATACACACTGGCAATAGAGGAAATGAATCATAAAAAACACAACTAAGCAATGATGCATTTCATATCCACCTGAACTATTTAATTTTATAGGACATATCTCAAAGGAACCTCTTCATTGATATTAATAAGAAGATTATTTAAGTACCAGACGGAGATTTGTACATATTTTGAAATTTGGGTAGAGTAACTTAGTCCTACAAAACCGACTTGTAAGGTGAAGAATGCCTCTCACTATAAACACATCTTATGCACCACGCGAAAGGGAATTTCTTAACCCACCCCATAACCTTCTTATGCACCACGCGAAATTCCTTAAATGCCCCTCAAAACCGGAAGTATACTTCCGGTGTACACCACCATCTGATAAAATATACACAAAAACCGGAACTTTACAAATACATTTAATAGTTAAACATAAATCAAACATTACAAATCAATATCCGGGTGGACGTTGCAACATCCTCATAATATCATCGACTGTTCTTGATAAAGTCGCATCTAGCTCGATTGGAACTTTCTCCCGAAAACTTTCATAAGTAGACCACATAGCCAGTAAATCAGCGTTGTTCTTCAGCTCACGGTTCATGAACTGAAGAATCTCTTCATTGTCAATCGATGGCGAGCAGTATTCGATCTTCTCTACCTTTCGACCGTCGCCAAAAGGTACAAGTTCCTGCAATGTTTCACGCACATCTTCAATAGGGGTGTACATTGTGATCTTGAATTCGCGAGATGGTGTGGCGCCGGGAAAATGGACAACTCCAACAACCCATTTAATGTTCAATTTCATGTCCATTTCTGGTTTTGTGTTGTGATAGGGAAAAATATAAGAGAGGTATTTTTATAGTAGTTGGATGTAAACATGGACCATATAAATCCTATCTTTGTGTCAGTGATAAAACCAGAATTAAAGTTTCGGTTTCGAGCTTACCCAAAATCGGAAGTATACTTCCGGTAAATGCCCTGGGAGTGAAAAACCAGAAACAGAACAGAAACAACTTATACCAAAACATCTCATGTATTCAAATATTGTGCATTTGGTCAAACTGCAAAAATGACTATATTTCCACATCATAATACATTAAAATGCTACCTAACTACTTGAAAGAGCCGAAAAAAGTGTCGTCGGATAAATCCACCGGTGGCACCTCTTTTGACTTTTCCCTATTTTTTTTTATTTCTATTTGGTTCAACTTGTTGTATTCTTGCATCCTTTCCATGAATTCGTCCGGCCATGTCTTTGATGGGTCTGTGAAATGAAACGCCCACTCTGGTGATGTAGGTGGTATAGGGCATCCCGGATTTCAAATAGACTTGAACAAAATGCCGTGGATTTGAAATCCACCCAACACATATAATATGATCACTGGGATTTGGTGTAGGAGCAGTGCACAGAGGGAAATAAGTCTCCGAAAAACCGTATCTTGTCAGATTAATACACACCCTCTCATACGCACTTGCTATGAGATGACCCATTTCAGGGAATCCATTCATTTATCCTCTGGTGCAAATCCAACCTCAACAGGTACTAGTGCGTGATATATTTCCTCAACCTTCTCTTTACTTCCTAGCACACGTGTGTATAATTCTCTGTTTTCTGTCAACTCTGTGATCAGGGTATCTCGCACAGTATTGTAATACTCTTCACGGCTACCAAGCAAACCAGAAACAGCTCGAAAACCACAGTTACCGTCACCACCGACATTGACGATCCGTTCAATGTACTTGTGCATAAAAACCGGCATGTGATCGATGAATGGTATTTTTGGAGTCGGTGTAGGCGGTGGTTTGCTAATACGGGCACCTTTGAAAGCAATTTTTTGAGATTTCGGTGGAGGTGAATCGGGAAAAACCTTGTCAACGTGTTCAAAACACGAAGGACTCCTCGTAGTAAAATTGTCGCACGGTGTCGGTTTCAACTTCTTTGGTGCACCTTTAGTTTTTACCGGTTAGGAGGATGGTTTCAAATTCGTGGTCTCCAGAAACGCAATCTTCCTCAACTCTTCTTTGATGTGGAGTTTGGTGGCGTCATCGGCTTTCAAAAATCTTGCTTGTATCGCTTCCCATTCGGTCAAGATGGAGATATTTGACTTATCGCTTTTCATTTTCCCGTCTTCGTCAAAACTAAGTCTCTTCCAATGACTAGAGACCATATGCTTTCACAGTTGTGCATCCACACTTTGAGGTGTCAGCACCCACACTAGAAGCTCGTTTGGCCTCATAAAAAATGAAATTAAGAGTCACCCGAGAGATGTTACCAACCAACTGAGAATATAGCATGTTGTCTTTGAACCTGTGTTCCAACACCGTGATACTACGACCAAATGCATTTGTATCTCGTTATGCTGGTTTAGTATCATATGGTTCACAGATTCCCAACCTGTAATCAAATCACCCTTGCTATTTCCCAACCAATTCTTCAGACATGCATGTGCAAACTCAACTCGGTTTGTTGTTGTATTACCGAGGTGTATAACCTGATCGGTCCATGCACAAACAACTTTCTCCTTAACCTGATCAAGAATTGTGCTTTCAACATATTTCAATAGATCGGGATATTTCACACAAACAATTCGGAACTGTAAAACAAACAGCATCAGCATATAGCTCTTTTGTAGATGCATTTATTATAACATTTCATGCATCCATAATTTTCTCCACAATAATACCCGACTTGACCAATTTTCCATCTTCACCAACAACCTGTTTTGACCCCACCGCAGGTTTAACCCGACTTCTCACATTTTTAGTAATATGGTACCTACAAAGTAATGTGTAAGAAGTGAGAAATACGGTTGCAACCGAATTCATTAATGTCGTATCTCGGTCGGTAACAATGACTTTAGGCATATCCTCTTGGTCCTTCAACATTGACCTACAAACCTCTAAAGCCCGTGCAAAATTGTCTTCTTTTTCGCACTCTAGAAATGCAAAACCAACAATTTCCAACAACGGGAGTCTGTACTTGTTGGTTTTGTACGTCGAATCAATTATGAGCACGGTAGGAAACATGTTGAACAATTTAACAGAATCAGGATGAGTCCAATAAATGTCTCTAACTGTTACTTCATCATCACCTCGTCGGTGCCTACAAACATAATTGTTCTCATCTAGAACTTTCAAGAGGTGTTGCATCTCGGTTCGATCCTCCCGAATCGCTAACTTGGTTTGGTAGCGCTTATTGTACACTTGTTTGATATTTGATGTGTTCTCGGGTCTTTTGCGCTTCAAAGTTGCAAGAATGTTTTTGGACGGTACCAAATTCAAAGTCATGTCAGAAACACATGTCTTCTCATCCGGAAGGAGCCGACGTGCTATTAGATGACCGGCCAACTTTGGAGTTAAATCATGATTGTGTTCTCCGTTAATCACATTAAATTTCCACTTCTTGTTAGCCATAAGATAACCACGCAACCGAAACGGACATTCACATTTTCTTGAACTGGTATCCTCGCGTTTAAAACTTTGAATACGAGTTACGTATTTCCCGCTTCTTTCGCATGTCAAAATTACAAACTCATTTCTTCTATCCGTACCGTTATCGGACCATGCTATCACAATATCAAATCCTAGTTTTGTGGCCTCTATACGAATCCACTGCAACATGTCTTCTCGTAATTCAAATTCTTCAACATTTTCAAAATGTTCACGAACATCTACCGCCTTAATTACGAGAGGCGGAACTATGACCGACGAAACAACTTCAGATACATCAGGTTTAGGAATGTTATCGGGGTGCACCATACCTATGTTACATAAGTAACATAATTATAAACATGTCACAGTGAAAGCTGTTGAGAAAAAAAATACAGAGAGAAATTGGAAATAGACTTCCGGTTTTGTTCAACCAGAAACCGGATGTATACTTCCGGTTTCTACGTAACCTTATTTCTACAAAAAGTAACAAATTAATGTAGTGAATGAGGTATAAAAGGAATAAAGTTTACCTGAAATTCTACTTTCTTGAGTTTTTTCTGATATGATGAACCACAAAAATGATGATTTGGAGTGGAAAATTGATTGAGAATGGAGAGGGTTTTTGAGAGGTTTTAAGGAGAAAGAGTGAAATGGTGGTGATCAAGTAGTCCAACATGGTTGTTGTTTTAAGCAATATGTGTCTTGCCCAAAACCGGAAGTGTACTTTCGGTAATATACAAAATATCCAGGTGGCAACACAATTCAATGTTCCCGCTACTATAACCGGAAGTATACATCCGATTCCAAACCGGAAGTGCGTCTCCGGTTATGTTTCTTACAATTTGAGGGGTGACACCACATTTGGCCTAGTTTGTACAAAAAGGGGTGTGAACCGGAAATATACTTCCGGTTTTGGGAAGGGTATTTTCGGTTTTCCATAGGGTGTCCCACTCCGCTATGGGGTGGGTTAAGAAACTCCCCAATAAAATCACATTCCAATGCTCTTTTAACATGAAAATCCAGATTCCAATGCTCATTTAAGGTGAAAATATAGAAGCTGACAATTGAAGCTTCAGTCCAAACGTGAGTTTTTTTAATTTTTTTTTAATTTTAAACACCGAGGCAAACACATGCTAAAACAAATGAAAATACTAAAGACAAAAATGAAAATGGAGCTACATAGAATGATTATAAGAAGCAAAACAGTTGTGACACTGTTCTTACCATTAAACTAGAGACTTCAAAGCTTCGTGCAGTATCAATGTATAGATGCCTTCCTAGTATATTGACTTGAACTTTTGTATACAAGCTAAGCATTACTGTTGCCCAAACTGACAATGCCATTCTTGTGAAACCTGATGAAAATATGCACAGAATTTTAAGCCTCGTGAATTAACACAGCCACCACAAAGGTAACAATATTAAAAACATGGGAGGCAAGATGAGATTCATACTTAAAATCTTGAGTCTACCCCATAAATCTAGTTTCTCTGATTGCGTTAAAGCATTAGGCTGACCCTTTCCCTGCATTAGCCTCTCGAGAAGATGAGAAAGATCCAACTCTTCTGATATCCGGCAACTTAGGTTGTGCATAGAATGAGGCAATGTAATCGTTTCAGAAATTCTCTGAATATTCTCAAAGTGAGCTTGCATCCTATCATAGTCAATTACCAGAAAAAGAAATATATACCATCAACATTTGTCGTATCAGAGAACATATCTATCTATCTATCTATATATCTGATATTTATAAAGAACAAAGAAACATTGAAATTGGATAGAGATAGAGTATTGGACTTAACTGATACTTGAAACGCTCCTCAGATTCTCTCTGAACTTGAAGTTCCCTCTCAAGCCCATCGAGCTTTTGCCTATGAACACCATAAAGGTTATACAAACAATAGCCACCTCCTATAACACCAACAGAGATGAAAATCTTCCTCCTATGCCGCCTCCAAAAATCCCTAATAATGCATAGAAACAGTAATTGATTAATCATCATAATAATTGAAGCAATCCATTTAGTAACATTAAGCAAATAGAGAAAAGAGTTTATTTACCTGACAAAGAACATTATTTGTTGAGAATGGGGCAATGAAAGAAGTAACAGAAAGAGATTAGGGCTTGCGCGAAAAATGGCCACAATCTGAAGCGTGAAGTGGCTTCTTGCGAACTAAATCAATTTGGGATTAGGGTTTGCGTTGCATAGAGTGGTGTGAAAAACTTCAATGTTGTTGTTAAGAGGAAGAAGCCGAAGAAGAAAACAAGGAGTGGAGGGTTTTCGGCGAGAAATTCGTTGCTTCCTGTGGTACTTCACTTTGATTTACGGCGAGTTGCTGAGTTACTCACCGAGTTAGCTCGGTGCTAGATCTGTTTCTTTTTTACAATGAAGGCCTGTCTTTTTGTTTTTTACATGATTCAAAGGGTAGCAATTAACATATCCTTTTCTTGTTTTTTGGTAATATAACACTCATTTTCATTTTCAAGTTTAAAATTTCATTTCCATTGTTCTGATTATTTTACTTTATTGATTTTATACATTTATTTTAAATGAAAATCATATAATTTTAGTATATACTGAAATTTAGGATCAGAAATTTATTATATACTGAAATTTTTGGTAGTGTATTAATTCAGGTTTTTTTAATGATCGAGATTTTGTTGATATTTTTGGAGAATTTTAATTGCACCGATAAATTTGTGGGTCTAGAATGCATCGTCATTTGTATAAGCATTTGTTATAGATAAAGACATCTCAAAAAATATCTCTCCCTCAATTTCTGATTAAGGCGGAAATGTATTTCAACGAAAACAACCCTCCTGTTGAATTCAAGCTTCCATATGGCACTGCATCCCTCTCCAACTTGAAAGAAAAATTAAATAAATTGTTGTCTGATTCTGTTAACAAAAGAGTGAGAAAGATAGAGTTTCGGGAAGATTGGATTGATACAAATGGAATGGTGAAATACAACATGATTGAGTTGAATATCGATAAAGATGTGAAGGCCATGTGGAAATCATTTTGTCATAGGATAACTAAAGGTCTGATCGAGTTGGATGCTCAAATAACAAGATTCGTCGATGACGTAATCAAGATGCTAAAACGTCTAGAATCATCTGTATTACCTAGGTTTTCATGTTTAGTTCTTTTTGATTTATGTTTTTTGTATTGTTTTATGTTGTGTTAATTGTCTACTCGAAACATGTAATCGCCAAAATATTATGCAATAAATAAGTATTGTGATAACAAGTCTATGTCATAAAATATACATATGAATAGTGGTGTCTCTATCAGTGAGAGACACCTCATCAGCCTGCTCACAAACAACCTGTTCAACAATCGTCTCCTCCACAATTGCCTTCTCAACAGTTGTCGACTCCACAACAACATGCTCACTCAAAGTAGAAGGTACCTTCACATAAGCAGGTGCCTCTACAGGAGCAGGTACCTCCTTAGCATTAGAAACTCTAACAGTCATGTGTAGGGGTGCGCGAAACTGCACTTGCTCAGCCAACTGTTTCTGGTGAAAATCGGTTGGAGGATGTCGTCCAGCCCCTAGCTCAGTAGTGTGTGCCTCATCAGCTCGGATTTGAGCTTCCGCTCTATCAGTCTTCATGCTCGTAATGAAACCATTTTTCCCCTGGTCCTCGCCAAAACAAAGAAAAAATAGGGGAAATTAGAAGAAGAAAAATGAACTACCGGAAATTTCAAAATTTTTGAATTTTTCCAAAAAAAATTGAACTACCGGAAATTTCAAAATTTTCGGTATAAAAATTGATTTATCAGAAATTTCAAAATTTTCGGTATAAAATGTAACAAAATAACCTGAAATTTTGAAATTTCTGGTACAAATACATCGGGAATTTCCAAATTTCTGTGAAAATCAACCAAAAATTTCGCAAAAATATCAGAACTGCTTATTGTTTCGTGAAAATTCTGGTGTCTTCTGCAAATCTCCGGTATCACCTAAGAAATTTTAAATTTTTGCTTTGGTACTAACAATTTCGAGTAATTGTAAAAAAAAAATTGTATGGGCTATTTTGATCTTTTCATACACTTTAGGGATACCTAATATAATTATGGGGGTGCCAAGTTAAATTCTCAAAGCCACGGTAACACAAAAGCTATTCCTACTCGCTTTTAAAAATTAGAGTGAATTAACCAGTAAACGTGCGGCAGTGACAATTCACTTGGTTTTCAAACATAGGCTTAGACTCGTTTTTAACTAAAGTTATTTCTCCAACTCATAATTATATGAATGTAACTTGTTGGTTCATGTTCAATATTGGTAAAATTACATCGGTCTCCCTTCAAGTCTATTAAAATAACCTTAATATTCCCTTTAGTTTTAAAATGTGAATTGATCTTCCTTGAGGTCTATTAAAATGACAATGACACACCCTCTAATTTTAAGTGATAGTAAACAATCATAGATATATATGATATTTACCTACAATTTTTGATTTGTAACTAAAAATTTATGTTGGTATATGTATGTTTATGGGAGGTTAATACATATTTTAAAACTAGAGGGAGTTTCAATGTCATTTTAACATATTTCAGGGAACATGAGTATAATTTTCTTTTCAATATTTAATGATAATATTTATTTATATTTATATATTTGTTATACCCCAAATTTTCCCCTCACTTTTCCTAACCCCAATTAGTTATGTGCTTCACATGCATATGCATATTCCATTAGTTCATAACACCACAATCATTCATCTTCTAACACCACAATCATTCATCTTCATGAGTTCCTAAGGCATGGAATCAAGAGAATGTTATGAGCTAGGATTTTCTCTATGCTTTTAGGTTTCTCTAGTGGAATATTTGAGATCTATGAGCAAAAACGAGTGGAGTGATGTAACTTTTGGTGGTTTATGGTAAGAGCACCACTATCGTTGGCGCCACATGGCGTATAAATAAGAGGTTCCACAACACATCTAGGGGCCTTTTTGGTGGCTGGAGATAGATTTGCTAACAAGGCAAATATAGGAGAAAACACTTCACACACTCTCAAACCCAGAATCAAAAGACCACACCCTTGTTTCTGTTCTTTTGAATCCAGAACTAAAGAAACACAACGCTTGTTTCGTTTCCTTCAAATCCAGAAACAAACAAATAAAACTCCACTTTTCTTGGTTTTCGAATCCAGTCAAAGAAACACAACACTTGTTTCTCTCCCTTCAAATCCAGGAGCACCCAGGGCATCAACTCAAGTCCAAAACCCATATTCCAGCTTCAAGCAAGGTAAGTCTTTCTGGCTTTAACCCTTTCATTTCAAACATGTGAATATCCTTTTTGCGCATATTTTAGTTTCTGCCTTTTTGGTTTATTTTTTCTTCAAGCAAGAACTAACTTGTACAGACCCAAACGAAAGAAAAAAGTTTATATGAATCGAAGCCTTAGGCTTCGCCCCTTACTGCTTCATAGTTGCAAACAAAAAAATAAGGTGGTGTGAATCAAAGGTTACAGACTTCGATAGACACTGGGTATAGGCCCAAATTGAAAGAAGGAAAGATTGTAACAATCGAAAGGCACGTCCTTCAATCCAGGATGTCTTTCCTTTCTTTCTTTTACACTATTTTTTCCTTTATATTTTCTATATATTTACATTTTTTTCTATTCAATATGGTTGTCATAATTAGGACATTTATTGCTTTTTAACCCCCATTTGTAAATATGTATACCCCATCCCCCAAAAACATGTAATAGTGTAGGACATTTATTTTCCGCATTTTTATTGTTTTCATAAAATGATAGTAATTAGGTTGTGTATGGCAAGTTAAAATCAACAAGTAGACAACTCAAATTCAAGACAAAAGTGCATGCAATTAAACACATTATTCATACACATGCACCTCTAGGGTAATCTCACTTGTTTCCTCAGAAAATAGTCATGTCCCTCAAATATGGGAGTTTTAGCAAAGGCCCTCGATAAAAAGATCATAGTCCCTCAATGTCCCTCGATGTTGCCTTTGGTAAATGATCTAGTCCCTTACGAAATTGCTAAAATGTCTCATAGGTTGCCTTCTATGACTATACAATTGGCCCACGCCCGTCCCTTCACATCCAACGATGGGGCTTCTTATCAATTAATGGTAAGATAACAACATCTCAAGGAGGAGGAAAAGAACAAAGACCTTTTGAGTAGGTAGGACGCTTGTAGTTGCTTGCTTGCTCATAACTTAAAAACTATTTTCACACCAACACTTTCAATTGAAACATTTTCAAAAGTTAAAACACTTTGTACGCATTCTTATAGAGACGAGAATCATTACAAAGGAACTTTTCAAAATCACTTTCAAAAACATATTCCACAACAAACATCTATTTGAACTATTTTCAAAACCAACAATTTGTACGCATTCTTATAGAGACGAGAATCATTACAAAGACGTTTTTCAAAATATTTTCAAACCCACACCACAAAGCACATTTTCAAACAAAGCAAGTGATCTAGCAAGCAACTAAGATCCTGTAGATAACTACGGGTGAAAAGGGTACTAATACCTTCCATTTTCATAACCTACCCCTCAAACTCAAGAAAACACCTCTAAAGGTCTTTCTTGTTCTTTTCACCATTTCCTTATTGGATAAAAGAAAAATCGGTGGCGACTCTTGCTATCTGCAACAATTGTGATCAAACGTAAAACAACCAAGTCAGTTCTCCCACCATATTACATAGTCCAAGCCATTGGCTGTAAGTTACTGAAGGAAGGCATTCAGCGCCTGGTGGATGAACACATAATTTTGATTGAGAAAGTTCTATCTACTGAAAATTTATGTCAAGGTTTACTTATAATATCCAGTACTCCTGTTAGGATCACTTCCAAAGGTCCTGTAAGGATTACCTCCAATCCAAAAGCTGCTCCTTTGATTATCACCACACATGGACCCATTCCATATTCTTTGGATAAAGCTATTCCGTGGAATTATGGATTCGATGTTTACTACCATGGCGTCAAACAAGAGTTATCTGATGAAGATGAAGTTTATGAAGACGCTGATCCAAACATTGATAATATTGCGGGGACCAGCAAAGTTACTAGAAGTAGAAGAATTTT